TATCCATAGATATTGAAAACAGACGAGATGAATACTGAGATAATAAATATTGGCTAGAGAACAAATCTAATATTTGTTTGCACCTCAATCCTCGACATTATACCTTATTTACTCTATGTACAGATTGTAGTAAACCAAACTATCATTCTTTTTCTTATGTACGTTTTTACTTTCATTTCGTTTTGTTATTTATGTTTAATATACCATGTGATGCAGTCAAGTCTACAGTTTCTTGTTATGCATCCATCATCCAAAAAAAAAGTAAACTCAATTAATCTAAATTAAGAAATACCAATGAGAGAAATTCGATTGAAATGTCCTGTATTTCATATGACATCGCTTTTTTTCTAATGTATCAAATATGACTGATTAATCCCACATATTGTATGTTCCGAAATATATCATAGATAACTCTTGACTATTCGTTGTGGTTCCAGCAAAATCGATGGGACTAATTTTTCGAAGACAAGATCTATCTGGTTGAAATGTTGGTGATAAAATAAATGATATAACTAAAAGCCAACCACAACTTATGTCTTGATCTATCATTGGCGATGCATCTAAGTAAATAGATTCTGAAACAAATGCTAAAGATAATATTTAATAAAAAACCTATTGCTGTATGTCCTGTTCGAGGCATTTCAATATAAGTTAAATTGGAATTTAAAGATGAATATTTTTTATGAAAATGTCGAGCAACTGGTAATGGCAATGTTTCATCCATATCACCTGCATTCACAAAAAAAAATTTCTTTCGTATTCTATACATATGTAACATACCATGTAAAACTAAAACTGGAATTTGAATTTTTAATATTGGATATGTTTCATAATATTGATCAGTATTATATCCAAGTACACCACTTCTTTGTATTGGACAATAAATATTCGACATCAATTGCATTGCCATAAATGTATTGTCCGACATTCCTTTAACATATTCACAAGAAAGCCGTTCGTCATTATGATCTCGTGTAGACCATAGTTCAGTTAAATCGTTATTTAATGCAACCTTAAATACCAAGTACACGAGTTTGCTTTTTAAATTATGAATCAAACAGCTGTTAGCGAAGTGTTTGAGAAATTTAAATAAAAAAGTTAATGAGATTACTGTTGCTAATCACAGAAAAATTGTTTAAATTTGATATAGTTTGAAATAAATTCTTTCATCTTCATTTTACTTAATCTCTCATAAATGCAATCAAGAAATAATTACTATATTCTAACCAGTCTTTATTGAAATCTGGTGTGTGATGGTTTCTAACTAGCATCTGTCATGGCTTATGAAGAGAAAGTGGTAGTACAAATTGTTATCCCATATACTTCAACATTCTGTTGAGATTGTCTTCTACGAAATAAAACTTACCAACATGGAATATCCAGGTCGATTATATGGAAACAATGATGATGATGCTGTATGTTTTAGAAAATGTTGTAAAACAATTTTATCTTGTGCATTACATCGATTTATTCGATAAATTAATGATGGTATTAATTGCATAACAAGTGGAAAAAATAAATATGATATCTTATGGAAAAAAATAATTAAACTAAAATTTTGTTAATATAATTTTTTTTTCTTGTTCTCACTTTTATACCGATTTCAATACTAGTTGTATTTAAGGATGAAAGACAAGATAAATTTCCTTGAATTTCTTCATTGATTTTATAAGTATAGGCAGCACGTAATGGATTTTGATCCTCAAATTTATTTGCACAACCTTCTTTATCTTGTGCACATCTTAGAAATAAATCTAAGAACATGTAATTAACATACTTATCATGCTTAACAAGATCAATAAAATCTGTTGGAACAACAGAATCAAGTATAACACCATCAATTTCTTTTTCATTTTCTATTAAATGAAGATATCGTTGTAAAAGATAAGTTCCTTGACTTGAACCCAGTAATATGACACGTTGATTTGATTTTAAATGTTGACGATTAGAAGCAACTTTTAATACGTATTGTAAATCACGTGCCATATTTGTAAATGTATTATGCTTTAAGCGATATTCATTTTCTTTTATATATGATGAACAATATGAAAAATTTAAAAATACTGATATTGGACATTCTAATAGATCACTTTCACCAACGCTACGTTTATCCATAGCATATATTGATATAGTACCATTGTATTTCGAAACAATACGAATAGCTTCTGATTCTAAAGTCGATATCGGTATACCACCACCTCCTATAAAGTAGATAGACAAAGATATGTGATAAATTTAAGGATAAAAAATTACCTGCTATTCGCCATAAATGATGACCTGTATTTTCATTTCCATGTATGAAATATCGTTTAATAAAGATTTTTATTGTTTCTGTGCAAGTTGTTAATTTGGTAGTTATATTCCAATCAATAGGTACATGGGCAAACATACATTGAGCATGAACATTATTGATTATTTTACTCTAAAGATGTATGAATAGAATTGAAATAAATCTTAGATGTATACGAGTAAAATATACTCCATTCGATAGAACAGGACAATTGAACCAGCTTGGTTGAACTATTGGAAAGTCAGATAGTGGTAAACAATCTTCAGATGCAACAATAATCGCGCTAATCAGAAGTATGAATATTCTGCTTACAATACTACAATGCATTGTCATATTGTTGTTTGCATATATTGAATAAAAAGGCAAAATAAATAGTGATTTAGTAAAAAAGAAATTTTGTCATGTCATTCAAAAGGATTAGTACATCTTAGAAAGCAAATATTTAACATATGAAGTTGATCTAAATACAAAGGGAATACATAAAAACACTTTTTTATTCTTGTTGATATCCTATATTACCTTATTGATTTATGTTAGTGATTTTTGTATGAATAATCGTGATTAGCTAAGCGTTTAGAAAAAAAGAAAATAATATTTAATCAAAGTCATAAGTACATGAGCATTATTTTTTGTTTTAATTTTCGTTTTTTAAAATATAAGCAGAAAAAGACTGTGACTATGAATTAGTCAATTAATAAATTAAAGAATAGTGCAACAAATGGAACTTTTCAAAAGATTTTTAGCGAAGTTGATCATTCAATGCAATGAAAAAATCACTTTAGAATCGTTTACTTTTATGTGAAATTATATTGAACATGAATAAATCAATTTTTTCTATGACTAGCTTAATCATTAATCTTTTCAAACTATGAATCACATCTCACTGTTTTTTTAATCATCTATTCAGTATGATACTATTTCTACATTTATCTATCTATAATCCTCTTCTAAATCCTTATTTTGACCATACTTAGCTTCTGTTTTGTATTAACTATCATCATTATTAATCAAATATTTTTCAGTATGTCCCGTACATGTTTAATTTCAATAATATTATTTGTTATTGTGCAGTATTTTATCTTTGTTCATAGTCAATGTCCATCAAATTTCTTAATAGAACCATGTTTATGTATTGAGAGCAATGCAACAAATAATCAAACAGTACTGTATCCAACTTTAACAGAAATAATTTCAATTCGTCAAGAATCAATTATATGTGAACATATTAGAAATTCATTCTTGGATTTACGTTCTATATTTATTAAACTTAGCATTGTCTTGTTAAACAATAATCAATCGAATAATCTGACCAATTTTAATGATTTTCTTTTACATAATATACTAATTAATCATCTGTCGGAAAATGTTTTTAGAAACATCACTTTTACGAATATTTTATTATATCATAATCCACTATTAAAATCAATTGATTATAACGCATTCAATAATACACGAAATTATGTTGAAGTATTTAGAACTTTAAATGCAAGTTTATCAGACGGTGATAATCTATTTACTGTAGTAAAAAAATTTTATAATTTAAAAGTTTTTAGTATGGAAAATGATGAACTAAAATCCGTTCCAGATTATGCATTCAATCATACTGAACTTCGATATATATCGTTGGGTACTCATTTTCGACAAACATTACAACCATTTAATCATATTGGTAAATATCCATTTTATAATGTACCAAATTTAATAGCATTACGAATTTTATCGCCTTTACTAACAAAAATTGGTAAATAACGTGCGGTGCAAAAGTCTTTGCACAAATGTCCGGTTGTGTTTTGGACGGATAAACACGTGTTGGACTGAACATTTTGTGATTAACTGATAGCTCATTCTTCCCTCTTTCCAACGATATGTAACTGATTCTTACTAGTTGTTCACATCAAAAATGACACGTGACGAAAGAGAGGCACTATCACAACGTATTTGCAACTTCTGTTGTGATTCTTCTAATAAACCTTTAAAAAATACAGTAAACTATGTTATAAAACAAAACATTCCACGAAGAACCATTTGTTATATTTTGAACAAGTATTTGAAATGTGGAGCTACAAAAGATCCGCCTCGAAGTGGTCGTTCGCTCAAGTTATATGGGTGGCCATGTCATCCAAGAGTGTTTATGATGTGTACATTCACAAGAGCAAACAAGCTATTCGTCAAGACACATATCTGAATGAATGTATCAACAAAGGACTCTTTCCTTTCATTGAAAAGTATCATCAGAATGCAAATTATCTCTTCTGGCCTAATTTGGCAAGTGCTCATTATTTCCAATCTGTGCAAGAACGTTTGAACGAGAAAAATTTACCATTCGTAATTCGTAAAGACAATCCTTCAAACGTACCTTAAGCTCGTTCAATCGAAACAGTTGGGACTCTACTCGAACGAAAAGTGTATGAGAATAATTGGGAAGCAAAAACCTTGGATATGTTAGCTCGAATAATTAAACAGAAATCAAAAGAACTTGATCTAAAAATGTTGCAAAGCATGATTGAGGGTGTTAGAAGAAAGCTTCGAGCTATGTGGCGAAAAGGACTGTATTCAATTTTATGAACAAAGTTTTTTGTAGTATTATTCATGTTCTTTCTAATGAGAAAAAACCCAGGTCTTTAGCTTGTAAAATGGTTGAACTATAAAGCTTGACATTTGTGCAAAGACTTTTGCACCGCACGTTATTCATTGGCTGTAAATAGTAGACGACAGTGATGGGATCGGTTCGTGTTGTTTTGGAACCGAACCGAATCGAACCGAAAAAATCTCAAACCGAACCGAACCAAACCGATCGAATTTTTCAAAACTTTGAACAGAACCGAACCGAATTCAAAACTTAAGATAAAGGTTTAAAAGTTTTTTTTTTTCTAACAATGGAAGGTCGGGACTGATGAGCAGCTAGATTGACCTTGTCCGCATGAAATGATTACTCTCATCGAGAAACTAACGTATCTAAAATATGAGCTGCTGATGGCGTGCCCGAAGAGAGGTATTCAATTTTCATGTTATGCATTATTTGGGTATAGAAGTATGATAATATATGGCCTATTCACATCAACCTTTTTATAAAATCATCAAATTTTTTAAGATGCGAGTATCCAAAATTTTCGTGACTCTTACTAACAATATTTAGTCTTCTTAAAATACGACTTCTTCTATAGT